GGTAACGGGTGCTGGTTGTGACACTGAGGCTGAGGTTTAAACCTGAGGTAAATCTAAACAGAAATACGAAGAGATTGGATGATGGTTGTCGTATTGGGTGATGATCTCTGTGTGTGTGTGACTGGGCGGATCTGGTATTTGTATGTGGATTTCAAGGTCCTGAGTGTGTTTTTCTGTGTCCTTTGACGTGGAGGAGTTTCACACATTCATTAACAGCACCTCAAAACGTCCCTGGGTCTGTAGGTCTCTGTGTCTCCGTTGGATTGTGTAGCTGGTGTTAAACTCCGTTCTATGACCTGCTGGGCTTTTGCCTTAGGAAAGGAAATGAGCTACGTGAGTGTGGTTGGCTCCTTTGTTTTCCCTGCAGCTAAATAAATGGGCTTTTTTTGCTGCAGATGGGTATACAGGGAGTTAAGTCATGTGTTTAACTTGAAGAATTAGAGGAAAACATATGAACTGGAAGGAAATGCATTGTCTGGGTGGAATGCTGGAGAACTTGAGATAACAAAGGAATGAGTAACCGGTACTAGCGTTGAGTTGGTCACTGGATGCAATTAAAATATATATTAAAAAGTTGAAACCTAGTTAAATATATAGACAGCTCTGGCTGTTAAGAATCTCACCTCTTTGATTTACCAATGAGTCCTTAAACCCAACTAAATTAGCCATTAAGCCTCAATTTGTATCTCTTCTTGTTGACAAGACTGCGTTGCTTTGCCTTTCCTCTTGCTCTGACAGACATGTGTCAGCCTCCAGACAGGCTGCAGTACGCAGAGCTGGAGGAGAATTTCAGCATAATGAAGAGTTTTCCTGTTGGAAGCACAGTGTCATACATCTGCCGGCCAGGATATATGGGAATTGCTGGAAAATCATTAAATCGTACGTGTGGTGAAGACTTACAGTGGTCACCCATAGAGCAGTTCTGTACAGGTAATGTGTGCATAAGCTCGGCTGATGTTTCCCTTTGATATTTAAGAGTTATAGTTGTTTTTCAAGTAAGGATTAGGATTCTGTAGTATTTTAAACAAAGCATCAAAAATTCTAATGACGGTAAGAGCAATATATGCCAAAGACTAAGTCTTTGTATATAACTACAGGGATGTAGATTTATTTCTCTTTCTTTCTCACTTCCCTAGAGAGAAAATGTGAGCATCCAGGAGAATTGGAAGATGGTTTCGTTAATGTGACAGATCTTACATTTGGTTCAAAAGCTACTTTTTCTTGTAGGGCAGGGTAAGTATTTTGGTGGAATTAATGAATCCTTTTATTTATTTTTTTCCTGGTTAGACTTGAACCAAACCCAGATTTTCTTATGCAGACTCTATTCCAATTCTGACTTGAAATGTCTCCTGAATTTTACCTGGAGTAAATGAAATTACAGCTAAATTTTATTTGATCCCTTGGTTTTATTTGTTGGCATCAACTGAGGCTTAAGCTTTTAGTCTGATTCTGAAGAATGAAGACTAGGGTGTTACCTCTAATGACTTCTTTTAATGCTCCTGTGGCAGAATGAATAAATATATATACATCACTCTTCATTATTATAATGAATAATGGCCCACTTGTCTGTGTATAGCAAGCCAAGTCAAAAGCACTAATCTCTTGCAAGTCTTTTTCCTCCCTTTCCTTTTAACAGCTTATTTCTTTAGCATTAGTAGCTTTAGGCCATTAGTGTTAGAGGGTACACATCTAAAGATAGACTTTCATCACTTCCTTTAGTGATGTGTTATTTGCTTCTCTTTTGTTTTCAAGCAAGAAAATAATCAAATACCTTTCTTAATACAACAACAGCTTGGTGTGTTATGTCCCCCTTATCACAGAGCAGAATTACAGAAACAAAGTTTCTAGGTGCTTGTTGGAGAAATGAGAGATTTCTTAAGTTTCACCTCTTCGAAAATTTTTACCTGTCTAGATTCAGATTACAAGGAACTAGTGAAATTACCTGTGTAATTAAGAATAAACGTGTTGACTGGAATAGAGATCTTCCCTTTTGTGAAAGTAAGTAAATTACTAGTGTGCTTAAGTTTATATTCACATGGTGGTAGTTAATTTAAAAACAGCTGTGCCATAAACTTTCCAGTTTAAGAAATGATGGTAAAATAGGACTGATATTAGTTTTTATTGCTTTGGAGCTCTGTGGGATGTTACTGATGAATGACCACTGAAAAATATCAGTGACTGTGGTAATTAGCTCCTATTAGTTTAAAGTTAACCTCTTCTTGAAATTGAGACCCCCTGTAATACTAAATGACCATCAGTGACTCTCTGTTATAACTGTAGCTTGTCCTAGCAATAGCTACCTGTCAGATTTTAAAAGAAATAATGTGGAAATCCAGGCTGTTTCTGAGATGAACAAAGTAACAATGAGATTCTTTTGACTAATTTGTGTCATTTATTTCTAGGAATTCCTTGCAGACCTCCTCCAAGTATAGCCAATGGGCACCACACTGAAGCAGCCAACTATGTTTATCAAACAGCAGTAACCTACACATGTGATGAGGCACCGAAAGGCACGGATCCCTTCTCGCTGATAGGCTCAGCTACTATTTTCTGCACATATGATGCAGACTTAAATGGTGTTTGGAGTGAAGCACCTCCACAATGTAAAGGTTGTTGAGATTTATTTTTTTTCTAATATACTTCTTTGTTATAGGGTAGATTGAGATGAGCTCTTGAGCAGAAGCTCTTCCCTGTGAGGGTGCTGAGGCGCTGGCACAGGGTGCCCAGAGAAGCTGTGGCTGCCCCATCCCTGGCAGTGTTCAAGGCCAGGTCGGACATAGGGGCTTGGAGCAACCTGCTCTAGTGGAAGGTGTCCCTGCCCGTGGCAGGGGATTGGAACTGAATGAGCTTTGAGGTCCCTTCCAACACAAACCATTCTAGGATTATAGGTTTTATGTAACTCCAACACTTCAATATCTGTCTCTTCTTTGTGGGGAGGATATGACAGATTTCCCTGTAGAATAGAAGAAACAGATATCTGGTGCTATCTAATTCAGTTCCAGTGGAGATCAGAGCAACTGCGCTATGGATATTGATTGATTGTGACACAGAATATGACTAACATTTAAGTTAAAACTTTATATATACGAGCATGTTGTTGGTAGAAGTGACAAGGACAAAGTGAGGGAACCGAGGGCCCATAAAGCCTGGGTAGCTGAAGAAAAATTGTATTAAAAGCAAGTATGTGGAAGCTAGATAATTGCAAGGAGTATGTGTTTTGGAAGAGGAATGTGATGATACCTATTTTTGCAATTTCTTGTTTGGCTGTGTACAGTTACATTGACTCAGTAGTCGAAATGAGGACCTTCATCTTCAAGAGAATAACTTTCTTACAAAGCCCTTCCGGAGAACTTTAAGGAATTAGTTAAGGAAACTTACAACTAGTAGAAGGTTGCTCTATCTGTTGCATAGATACTAGTAACATATGTTTCAGAGCTGTTTTTCTTTTATCTCTTTCAGTGGTCAAATGTGAAAACCCAAAAGTTGAAAATGGAAAAAAAACAAGTGGATTTGGACCTTCCTATAGCTATAAGGACTCTGTCATGTTTGAGTGTGATCCAGGCTATGTCATGACTGGATCAGAGGTAATTACCTGTGAAGAAAATAACACCTGGTCTCCTCCAAAACCAACTTGTAAGAAAAGTAAGCCTTTAAATAAGAATCCAACTTCTCTTGTATGTTGAGAATGTTTTAAATCTGTCTTAGCTAAAATCTAAAATCATAACACTTTAGTTGGAAGTTGGAAGCTAAAGGAAGTTGACGTGGAGCCTCATCTATGGGCAACCATTTTAGTGTTTGAAGAGTTTTCAGATGAGTGGGATTTGAATTAGAAATGCTGTGGACATGCTGCGGTGCTGCTGCATCGCAATAGCCTCATGGTGTTTGTCCAGTTACTTCATGTGTAAATACAGGAGTCAAAAAGGTGTTTCTGAATTGTGATAGAAAGAACTAGAAGTATACACTAGGAGGACATGTATAGTGTCCTTCTAGAGAAATCAAAATCATTTGTCTGTGTTCTCTAATCTTTGGGAATATTGCTGCGGTCTTTCTATAACCTTTCTCCTGCCTTTTTGTGCTAGAGGGAAAGGGAATGTTGTATAGTACAGTGAGAGAATTTTTCACATACATAATGAGCTCCCAAATATGAGAAGCACTTCTGCGAAGTATGTTTGGGTGTTCCATAATGAATGAGTCTGATAAGGCACCTGACAATGATTCTAGAGCTTATGAAAATAATTAACAATCAAATATGAATTTCCTAGCACATCATAAGATCATACTATCTTAACACCTACAGTGATGTTTAAGTCTTCAAAAGGAAACATTTATACTTAGAATTGTAAAATATGCTGATCTGTTTTTCTCATACAAAGGCAATATGTATTTGTGGAATGAGTTAATGAATTATGAATGATTTCAAGTTTATTATCACTCAACTTACTTTTAAATTCATGTCTCAATTACTGAAGGTGTGTGTGGTGCCCCAGAGATCACACATGGAGTAGTGATTCCAGCAAAATCTGTGTATGAAGGAGGAGAGTCTGTTCAGATAAAGTGCAATGCTCACTGTACTTTCCCTCATGGCGCTGAAGAGATGACAGTAACTTGCCAAGGACAGAATACATGGAGTTCTTTACAAGACTGTGCATGTGAGTAAGACTCCGTTGGTAAAATCAATACCATATATAGACAGGGCTTGTCATTACTGTCACGCAACTGTTTGTCCTAATGAAGCCCAGACATGTATTTCTGTTCCCATGTCTGAAGCATGCCCAGCAGCAGAAGTAGCTGCAACCTGTAGGAAGCAGGAGGCCTGTGCAGTTAAAACGTCTTAAGGCTTGGCTGAGCTGCTGACACTTACACAAATGCAGCAGCTTTTTGACTGCAACATCTTGGATCTGCTTCATGTACTAGCTCTGTTCTTGAACTTTATTTCCTCTTTCTCCCCCCCCTCACCCATCCTCTCTTTCCAGGTGGGTCTGTAAGTTCTGGTTTGACTCCACATATAAACTATGGTAGAGTAATTGATGGACAAAAACCTTCATACTCTGTGGGGGATATGATTACGATTGAATGTTACGCAGGCTACACGTTACATGGGGAAGCTCAAATTCAGTATATTGGACAAAATCGCTGGGTTCCTGCAGTGCCAACGTGCCAGTTAAGTAAGTATGAACTGCAAGAATTTCCAGTAGAATAAAAATACATGTAACAGAAGCTTTACTTCATGGGGACATTCTTTTGTATATGGGACAAATCATTTAATGCAAACTTACTTCTTTTATTTTGACATAAGGAAAATAGGTTTTGATAAAGCCCATTTAAAAATAGCAATATTTTCACTTAAATGTTGTGATACAGACTGTCAACACAATCCGTGCAGCAGGATTGTGTTGACAGAAGTACTTGATCTTTTTGAGATGACTTTGTGATTAGTTGTATAGTAATGTTTGACTAAGAAGCACATGTGTTCCTCTTGTGATACTGATTCGCTCTGTTTTTAGGTGCCTATATTACAGCCATCATTTGTGGTAAGTGTCTTAAAAAACCTCAACAAGATACGATGTGGGTTGTATTTTTTACTTGGAATTGACATTGTGGTCATCACTTATGACTGCAATGAGACAACATTCTTTGGGAGTTTTGGTTGTTTTAAAAATGCTTTGTCCACTCCTAGAGGTGCATAGTTCAGGGAAAGGTAGGATTATTTAGCAGTTAGAGATTGATTTCATGTAAAATGTGCATTTTTTCATGTACATGGGACAACAGATTTCAAAGACTGCCTTTCTCAACTTAGTGACTTCCATAAACTTCTCGGAGCTTGAGTTTACTGGAAGCGTGAATAAATAAATGTGCCAGGGAACAGAAGTGCTTAATCCATGTTCTGTCCTTGCATTTGTGACCCAGTTTTGTAAGCCTACCACTTTCTCAGAAACTTGATGTAAAACATGATGTTAGGGCATTGTATCTATTTCATTGTTACTGAGCTTGGTGGGGTTTTGCCATCTTGGTGGTCCCTGTTCGTGAACTGAACTGTCTTGAAAAGTCTTGAGTAAAGCATTTGTAAAATCAGCCATGCAAATTTGAAGGTGTTTTTGGGAGGGAGGGGTTGTTTAGGACTGTGGATGAAGCCAGTGCTATATCTGCTAGAACTTTCTGGTTCTTTTTTTGTGAGCTAGTGAGGATCTTTATTGCTCTAAGGCTTTTTTCTTTAATTCTTCCTAAAGTGATTGTGGCAGTCGTGGTGTTCCTGGCAGCCTTCTGGGCCTATAAGAAGTTCTTTGCACAAAATGGGTGAGTAAGCCTACTTTTTATCATTATTATTATTGCATATTTCTGAATGACTGAGCAAAAGCTAATGTGTGTGTTTCTTGAGCTTCATCTACTCTTTCAAACACCTGGTGACTATATGTGAGCTTACCACTGCAGCTGATGGGAAGCTGAAGTGCCTAACAATGTATCTGACTTGTATCTGCGATGCAGATAGGCTGCTAATTAACACTTGCACTAATTCCAAAGAAGGAAACCCCGTGTTCTTAAGCTTGTGTTTGGCATAGGTACACTTTCTGAGGAAAGTACTGTTTGCGCCTGCTTTAAAACCTATGAGTTGACCTCTTAAAACCAGTGGTAGTATTAGCTTGTGTGGGCTTGTGTTATTTTACTGCTTGGATACCCCCTGGTGTCACTGGGGTCTCACAGGCTTTGAGAGCCAGAGTGGTTTACATGAACTGGAAGCCATGAACTAAGGAGATTCCTCTCTTCTACATAATATATCCCAATGGTAGTGGAGGGTAACTGGAGAACCATTATGTTTTGTGTTTTGGACCAGAAGCTCCTTGAATAAAATAAGACGGGCATAATTACAAGGAACATGTGAAAGAAATTTGGCCTAAACCAGTTCTCTCACAATGTTTGAACAAGCAAAGAGTCTGCTTTGTTACTAGAATGTTTAATGTGTGGATCCACTTCAGTTTTTCCTCCTGCAGTAGCAATGATTGCTGTCTCTATGATAAAGACTTGCAAAGATAACTGTAAAATACTAGATGCAGAAGTAGTGTTTCTCTGTTTTTAATGAGACATACAGGGCCTTTTGAACTTTATCTTCCAAATAACTGACTGTTGTGTATGCTTTTTCCTGGAGGGGTGGCAGCAGCCTCTTTGTGCATTGCTGCTTAGAGTAATATTTTATCTTCTTGAAAAAGGCCTGTTTTGTTGGAAAAGTCATTTGTAACATGCTAAATACTGAAAATTCAGAGTGAGTTGGGGGGTACACATAGAATGTTTTGATAAGCATCTTGTCAAAGCTTACTTACCTGGTAACAAAATGTGTTGGAATTTATTTGGGGTACATTAAGCAAAGGAAAGGATCCTTTACATAAAGTAAACCAGAGGAAATATTGCTGCAGTTCGTATTTGTAATGAGGTACATGGAGTACTTCTTGGGAGAACTCTGGAGCTAGCTTATATCCAGTGAGGTTTTAGCTTTAGTATCTTCCACATAAGCAGTACAGGATCATTACAAGGGCCAGAGTGGCTGTGTACCTGTGTGCTGTGAAGTAATTTAGTGCTTTTGAGCAATTGCTTTTCACCCATGATTTGGACAGTCTGTACTTTGTGTGGCCCAAATAAGAGTACATGGAAGTTAATTTATTAGGGCAGCACTGTCTGCCTTCATCTGTGGAGAGACTTCTTGGGATGTAGAAAGGAGGGATCTGAAGCAACATCATCAAAACTTAAAGAATGGTCTATTTCTGAAAACTTGACAGCATGAAAAGTCATACTGTGCCCAGTGCTTTCCTTAAGCTTCCTTGCTGTGAACATCTGACTGTTAAACCTCTTTCTGTCTGAAAACCATCATCTAATCTCCTTTTGTGAAGGCCTAGTTCTTCCTATTCAGTTTTCTGTGTTCTTATATAGCTGAGCCTTTGAACTGTTGTGCTTCAGTACCTCACACTTGCTGGGTTGTAGTCCTCAAATGCCAGCACAAATCTTTTCTTGCCCTCCCTTTCTTGTGTGTTTAATCTGCCAGTTTTATAAGACATTCAATTTTTCCCCTTCTGCTGTTCAGCTCATACACAGTTGATGAGAGTTGCAAGGAAACATGTATTTTAAAAACCAGCTGAGATGGAAGAAACTGCACAAATGAATTAAGTGAATCTTAAGAAGGTATATATACATTTTCCACTTCATTTGGACTTTTGCAATGGAGCTTAAGTGTCTTTTTTTTTTTATGATGGTTTACTTAGAATTACAGAAGTGTGGAATCTAGCTCAGTTTCCAAGAGGAAAGACTATACTAACCCTTCATTTGGGAAGAATAGGATATATTGCAGAAAGAATTAGCATTCAGTGTGGTAAATGAGAGCTTCCAGTGATTGCAGATCACCTGAGTTTTGAGTTGTCTTTAAAGAAGAACAAATCTTTCTGCAAGATAGAAACTACACGCATACTCAGTAGAATGTTTGCAGCTCTTTCAGTGATGTGAAATGGGATTCCAGTGGTGGATTACTTTTATTAGCTCAAAGTGTAATTCCCTGTAATTAAAAGACTGTTGGAGCTAGAAGCCACCTTTGTTGCATTACAGGGACACTAGAATTACAGTGGTAGTGTGTATCCTTTCAGAGAAAACCAGACTATGTGTGTCTCAGGATGACTGAGAGGATAAAAGAAGGTGCAAACAATGTGGGGTTTTTTAAACCTTTTGATGAAAAGGTGATTTCTTTCTCAAATTCAGACTTCTGTGGCCTTAAAAGAGATCAAAATGGAGTTGCTTGTTTAAGACTGATCCTCTCCTATCTTTTAGTGCTTAGTCCAGTAGTCAGATGCACTTGATGATAGTTATGGTTGCTCTTGCGCTGGTATAGGGTCAGATCAGCTCTTTCAAACACTTGAGTCTTCAAACCTTGTTACAACAGAACAGGTTGAAGACAGGACAGCTTCATTTGGCTGTTCCTTGCCAGTGTTATGTCATTCTCCCTTAACAGTTTGCGCTACAAATCCTTTTGTAGATTGGTATCTTCATTTGTGTTGCTTTTCTGCATTGCACAAATTCAGAGGAGGTGATGATTGAAATGTTGCTGTGAAGGTCTTGATTTTATTTACTTCCAAAGAACAAGGAACTTTTCAGTAGTTTTGATAAGTTTGGGGTTGCATATATGAAAATTAAGCTTGGAGTTTCTTCCATACTAGTGTAAGGATTAAGTAATATCATCTTTACCTCTGAAGTAAGAGGTTTCCAGTTGAGATAGGAGTACTTTTCTCTGGGTTAGTTTGGTTTATTTTTGGAGAAAGAACAGAGCTTTTATTGCCAATGTTACTTTTAGCACATGACAATGGTAAGAGCAATTAATGGTCTGGTCTGTGCCCACCCTCTTAACCCCGGAGTTTTCCTTATGGTATCCTAGAACGCCTTAGTGACTTAGAGTAATAGTGCAGAGGTTTGGTATGAGATTTCTTTCTGCAAAGCAAAATAGTTATTCAAGAACTTGAAAACACGTATATATGAACGTAATGACAAATTTCAATCCTCAGATGTTTTAAGTATTTGTAAACTTGCTGTTAGCAGACTACAGAATCAAAATTCTCATAAACTAATCCTCAGCTTCTGGTTATAAAATACATACTAAATAACATACTGTATTTAAAATGAATTGGAAGGGATGCTTCTGATGTTAGGAATCACAAATCAGTTAGGAATCCTGTAACTGATGTGTCAGTTTTCAGTTGTTGATAATGCTCAGGCATGGTCTGTTCATTACTTGAAATGATCCCTTTGGATCAAATGCTCTTCTACTCTGTGGGTCTTTCTTGATAGTCTAGTGGATGAAACGGAGCAAAAATCTCCTCAGTTTAGCAGTTGCTTAGTAAGAGGACAAATAATGATTTAGTTTTATGACTACCTGTTGGTTTAATGATAAAACTAAGGATGTGCTTTCAGAATGAATGTAAAAACTATTTGAATGTAAACCCTCTGATTTGACTTGTTTTTCTGTTTGTAGGAAACGTGACAGCACTCCATGTACTGCCGAATATAAGATCTGTAAAGCATGAATGACCTTTTTTTGGGGGTGGGAGGGAATTTGCAGTTGAATACCCCGATCAGGAATGGAAAATGCTTGCACTTGCTTTGAGTTTCTGTAGATAAATATCTTGTATCATGTCCTAGACTACTGATTAACTCTAGTAGATCATCAATAGGGTAAAATGAATATATATATATATAGAGAGAGAGAGAGAGACCTGCTTTTCTTTATGGGCCACTCATACTGTCTTTTCTGTATATGTGAAATGGTCTTGAAGGCCCATACGTGTGGCTTGCAAAAGTGTTTGTGTCTGTGGGAGCACTGGACGTATCCCTGTCACAGTACCAGCTCCTGCTGCCTTCAGTGCTACCTCTTTTCTTACAGAAGACTGTCCAGTTCTGCTCACTAAAATCTGAATGAGCTTGCTGTTCCACCTGTTGGTTTGAGGCGCTCTAAATGATGATGTTCTCTTGTGCTCTGAAATGTCTTATTCTTATTTTCCTGAAGCAGTCGGTGCCATTTAAGGTTATGTGTTTTTGAAACTATCAAAGTTTAGATCTTCATTATGCTACCTCTTTGTTTGCTAAAGTTGTTTTCTGTGTATCTAATGAATTAAAGTGTGCCTTTAAATCAGAATTTTATAGCCTTTATATCAGAGTTTTTATGTTGCCTTTAAGAAGGAAAAAAGCCATATATGTTGCTGGCTCTTTGATATAGTCCCAGAAAGACTCTGGTAGATTAGTTGGAATGAAAAACGGAAGGTTTCTATAGCAAAAGGTATCCCCCTGACTGTGAATTCTTGGCCTGCTGACAGAAGGTGCCTAATTGAAGGAACTGCTGAGAAATCAGTAGTAGATATCTCCTATTGGGAGCACAGTAAGTTCCTTAGGGGGCTTGATTTTCATTGAGCCTTGGTAGTTTTGAAGATAACTGTTGCTTTCCAGGATAGGGCTCTGTGTGGATCTAGCTTCCTTGCTTTTTTCACTTGAAATCATGTATTCCATGTTCCCAATCTCTGTATACAGACTATGATGCTAAATTTAGCTCTGTAACGCTAGATTTAGCATTAAATATCTGTTGAGAAAGAGAAGCCTTTTCTTGTCAGACTCCCTTCTCTTTCCATGTTAAAGGAATACCAAACCAGCTGAGTTGCAGGAGTGAAGGAATGGATATGCTGGCTGTGGTGGTAGATGTGGGCTCTCTTTAGGTAGCTGCTTGCTTCATGAAGTGTTTGAGTCAAGACTGTGACTCCAGGAGCTCACAGTACACCATTTGCCATGAATGGAAGCTCAGATGTGCATTGATAGCTGTTACTTTAAATGCATTGCATCCTTGCTCCTCCTAATTCCTTATTAAAACCAAAAGCTTCCTTAGGACGGGGTTTGGCTTTGTGAATCTTGGAGTTTGCTAACAACATACGGACAGCTTCCAAGAAACAGTTTTCCCAGAAAACCCAAATTGTCTCACTTCAGATGTAGTTTAAAGTAGTTTAAAGGCAGCATTTAAACTCCTCATGTTTGTCTGTGGTAGATTGGCACTGCTCCTTGCTGCTGTGAGCAGACTGTTAGAATAACATAGAACTATTTAGGGCTTTCTAGGGCTTTTTGGGACAATCCCAGCAGCTGTATTGTTTGAGTTCATAATAGACTTCAGTTACTAAAAAGAGGTTTTGGCTACACAGAATGACTTGCTGCTGTTCATGGCCTGTCTGATACCTAGTTTGACAATGGTTTGTAAACTCTGGGGTAACATACTGGGAATGGAGTGTGTGCTGGTCACGAGTAGCTTGATGTATGGCATCCTGGATGTTTTAAAGTATGCTGAAATGCACTTCATGCTAAAGTGAAACAACTGTACCAAATGGCCTTATTTTTTGCACTTCTTTTTTTCCAGATGTAATGACTATTCCAAATAAAATTGTTAAATTATTTAGCAGTAAGTGTTTGTCTTTCATTCTTCATGTGCCAAGCAGCTGTTTTCCCATTCTTCTTCAGCTGATTTTTCATGTATCCAACTTGTTTTAGGTGACAACTGTTGAGATGGAAGTTTGCAGTTTGGCAGTGTAGAGAATCTAGTTTTTATTTGCTGAGCAGCCTTTTGGTTTTCTTTTGGAATGGAAGGGAATATCCCAGATCCTCCCAAAGCCAGTGTTTACTCATGAAAAATGTGGTAAAAGCTTGATGGAGATGAGGCAGATTATCAAGTGGCTGTTGCAATACAATACTAAAAGCAGAGCTCAGAGTGTTCTGGCACTGTTGTCCAGTGTGTGTCAGATATAATCCTTGGGGGATATAGCTTAGGTGGTTTTAAGTAACATGTTAAGTAGAATGTGATTAATTTTAATTGAGTTTCACACTCAGAATATACTTCATTTTCTTTGCAAAGGAATGTGTGAAGTGAGCTGCATTTCAGAGGGTGGAATAGAAAAATAACTAATGTAGAATCATAGAATCATATTATTTTCAGTTGAGGTTGTGACAGTCAAAAGGAGTTGGTGTGGACTGAGAATTGATATCTGTAGACTACCCAAGTCTACAATATGAAGTTTGGGGATTGCAGTGAGCACTGATGGGACAGGCAGCTACCAGGCAATCTGATTTAAACACTGCAGTTGAATTTGTCCTCATTGCCATTAATTCTGCACCATTTCTCTGAAACGGCATCCCATGTGAATTCCTTCACTTTAGAATCTGGAGCTGATTAATTAAAGAGTCATGAACACGCGAACTTTGTGCTAAGAGAAGGGCTGCATGTAGTAAAAATCTGTTATTGCCATCTACTGGTAAAGCAAGTGATGGTCTTGCTGTGGGAGTAACCAAACATAGGTACAGTGTTCCCTACTTGAATGTTACATAGTGTGTAGAGTCAGTAGCTGGTGGGCTTCTCAGTGGTACACTTCAAATCAGTGTAAACTCTCACTTCTGAGCATGGTTCATGGGGGGGGTGAAAATGGAGCTGAGGACTGAAATGAAGAGACTTGCAGCAATTAGGTATTGTCCTGCAGGGAACATGTCATCTGTCTGCCTGAGACAGACCCTGATACCAAGTAGGACACAATTTTATTTCAAAGGAAAAAAAAATCTGAGCAAATAACAGGTTAAGGCAAACAAACAGCACATGGAATATAACTGCTCAAGGTTAGGAGGCTGTGCTGACACATGGGCCCTGGCTTGCTTGAGTTGAAGAATCTGAGTGAGGTGTTTGGATAGATGCTTCGCTTTCTCTTGAAGCATCCCTCCAAGTTGAACGTGATGCTGACTGTCCTCCTTCTGAGCAGGATGGTCAGGTGTAACTTCAGGTCGGAGAACAGAAAAGCATGCCGTGTTTGTGAAGTCTGTGCCTTTGGTGGTGTTTGTTTCTAAGGACTTTGGGGGGCGGGGGAATGAAGTTTTCCATTACTGTTGCTTTTCCCCCTACATCATAACCGATTTCAAATGGTGCTAGACAAAAACTGAGACTCTGAACACCAAGAGAAATCGGTCAGCCTGTGTAAGAGACATTTTCCTGGCTCAGAGAAGGATCCTCTTGTAGATGACAGCTACATGTTCTTTAAAGTTGACTATTCAGTGGTCTGATCAAATGCTTCATCCACACAGCGATTGTCTATTCTGTGTAGAACGTTTGACAATGGTGAGGTTGAGCAAGAAATAGTTTAGCTTCATTTTAGTGGTTTGGATGCAAGAGGATAGAAGTCTACAGAAACATTACTACAAGTTACCAGTAATAAACTGAACTCTAGAGAAACAAGTGGATTCTGTGGATACCAGTGTGACACCAGCGTGACTGCTGAAGGCACTTCTGTGTTTAACTCCTGGCAGCAGGGTGTTCTGTGTTTGCAAGTCTCTGGGAGCTATGGAGTGATAATTGTATGGCCACAAAGTCCCCAGGCACAGAGTGGAAATACATTTGCTTTAGGTAAACGTTAGGATCCTATTGATTGTAGAATAAAGGAAACACTCTGCCTGTCAAGGTGCAAGAAGTACTACGTTGGTTTTCATGCAACTTTTCGGATCACTTTACTCTGGACAACTTGAACTCATATCCACTGTTTATTAAGTAGAAATACATTGGAAGGCAGCTGTTCTGTGGTGGCCCTAGCTTGAGAGGGTGCATACAGTGCTTGTATAAGTGTCTAGAAATCAGATGAATTTACAAAGTGGATGGCTGGCAAAAATTATAACCAGTGGGAAAAGGGCTGGTTTAAGGAGTAGAGGCCATTGGTGCATTCAGCAGCTGCTTGCTCTCTTCCCACGCTGTAATTCTTGCTCCTAGAACACTGATTTCAAATGGTGCTAGATACAAAGTGGGAAAATCTAAGCCACCATGTGAAACCAGCTTCCAGAGGAAGACACTTCTGGTGCTTGGCTGCAGGTTGAGAGAGAAAATCCTTCATCTCCACCGTACCTAGAGAAAAATTCATTTATTGAATTTGATTAGAAAGGAAGACAGTGAACTTTGGGTTAGTTACTTTATTGGCACAGATTTTTTTTTAGCATCTTGTGAACAGTCGAGCCTGGTGTAGGAGGCAAATATGTGATGAAGAAACCCACCACTGACAATAACTCATTTCCTTTCATAGCCAGGTGGAATATACTGAAGCTCTTGACCAGCAAGCAGTGAAAAAGGCCTTTGAAGTACAGTATGATAGTGCTGGGTGGTGAGTTTGTGTTGCACAGGACTGCCTTCTTCATGCCACTGCCAATGGAACCAGGCTATAAACCTCAGTCTGTCCAAGGGAGAAAGTGTTGTGGCTTTCCATTTCTCCCTGAGCTCAGCGCCAGCAGAGGACAGGACAGATGAGGTGCTTTGGAACAGGAGAAGTAAATGTGACTATCGTGATGGAACTGCCTCTGTCAGCTGTATCACACAGCCTGCAATAAATAAGCATGCTTGTAATAAGCAAGGAGTTGTGGAGTTTAGTGAGACAAGTTTGGAATTCATATAGGGACAACGAAAATAAATTGCATGGAAACTACTCCAACTGTGGGTCAGAACAAAACCTAAAAAAGGAGCATTTGCAAATCTAAC